ATTGACCTATTCAATTGTTATATCGCATTATTTAAAAGGATTAAAAGGTATATGATAACAACTTTTATTTTTTTATTAAAAAAACTAAAAAAGGCATTTCATGAGCCTCGGGACTTTTTGCCTTGACCGTCACATTAAAAAATTGTAGTTTTTTCAATTAAAAAATTTGTTATCATATACCTTTTAGGGGTCTATTCTGTAACTTTTTAGTTATGTTTATCGGCTGGGTTATAAGTTTATTTATAACCAAATCGATATAATTTTAACTGTAATTCCCATTCTGTAAGTTATGAATATAACTATTAGTTATTTTTAACTTCATATCGAACATGGTTAAAACTCTTAGTGACATTAGCTACAAACTTCAACGAACTTCAACGAACCATCTTCAACATTGACAAATGTAATACTTATTAGGTGTTTACGGAAAAATGTACTACCTAATTTTTAATATAAATATTAAAGCCTTATGATTTACATGATATCTTATTAAGTAAATGTTAAATTAAAGAAAACAAATCCTTCCATTTTAAAGTTAGTGTTGCAACAATGCGTAGCCAACTTCGTGTTTATTATTGACGGGATAACTCAAGTATTGTCAGTGTAGTTTCTTTATAATCTGTGCAAAGATGGTGAAGGCAGTTAGAATATGGAAAACATTCATACGTTCAACTATGCCTATCCGGAAAAAGCCCATAAGAAGAAGGCTAAAAAAAATCAAGATATACTGCCCTGGCAGTTGATAGCCAGCAACTTTGCAGTGGCAAAGGGGCTTAATAACCATTAGAAGGCAATAATAAAGACAATTTGTGGCTGCTGGAGCATTTTGGGTAAACTGATATCTCAGATATTAGACCCACACCAAACTTGTATGAGTTTATACTGACATTAAATGAACAAGTTCTGCGCAAGAAGAATTTAAATTGAAGTTTGCGAAAAAGTTATTTTTTCAGCGTGCCCCCTAATTACGATTATTCAATCACTTTCGTACGTTCACCAACGTTTAATGAAAAAATTTCAAAATTTATTAATAAGTAGGTATTACAGATTTTATACCATTTTAAATTTTTATTAATTTAACTATATTTTAAATAAATTAAAAATGGTATAAAATACTCTTGGATTTTCAAAATAAATTTTGACACAGTAGTGAATTATAAATTTCACCCCTTTAATTTGAATAATCTTAAATAGGGGGTGCAAAACCAACTTTTTCAATTTAAATTCTGCTTAGGCAGAACCTGCAGGTTTTTTATTCAATGTCATTATAAACTCATATAAGTTTGCTGTGGGTCCCATCATGGGACTCCCATGTCTAATAACTCAGATGTTGGTATACCCAAAATCCACCAGCTGCCAAACTGAAAAAGTTCCTAATTTTTTATGTGTACCTTTTATTTGTAAATGATTTTTAATTTTTATTAACATATAAATATGTTTTTTTATTTAAAGTTTGAATATATGTATATTAGGTATTTTTTATTAAAATATATTATTTTAGTTAGAATACCTACTTATTATTTTATTAGAATATTTTTTATTATTGCAACATGAGTGCAATCAATGCTGCCTACAATCCCAGGAAATCCATAGCGATAAAATAATTAATGTTTTGAGGGGTGGAGGGAAAAACTATCCATCTTTGTAAAAGAATATTATTAATAACATTACACACCTCTGATATGCAACGACTAACTGATGATTGGCTCATTGTAAAATGAAGAGTAAGCTGGTAACCCCCATGTCCTAAAAATTTTAGTGTTCACAATATTTTTAGATGGGCAGGTATTCCAGTGTTTCTTAATTCATCATTCATATGTGGTAAAAGATTTTCGATAAGAAAATAAGTACCTAGCTTCCTTGTTAAGTCTAAATAATTTTAAGAGTGTAAATTGCGATTCATTATTCGTACCGCATTACTAAATCAAAAAAAAAAAAAAAAAAAAAATACTCAGGGTTCTGGGGTAAGAAATAGTTTATGTAATTAATAGCAAAAAAGTTTAGTACTAATAATTTGTAAAGGAAATTATTCTTATAATGCACCTTTGAAAGTGTTTTTTATTTAAATCTAAATTATAACTCAAAAGTTATTTTTATCGCCTACTAATATACCTCTCGATATACATTTCTGAATAACCAGCGTTATATCGGCATCGGGTTAAATTTTAAACCAAATACAAAGTTACAGAATCGCTCTAGAGATTTTAACCAGTCGATATGATATAACCCAGGGTTATTTATAACTAAAAAGTTACAGAATAGACCCCTTAGTCCTTAAATGCCATATAACAAATATTGTAAGCTCGAATATCTCGGAAACGGTTATTTTTATCGAAGTTTGAGAGGTACACCTTTTTAATAGTAGCTGAACTGAGTAATCCAAAAATTGCATCAAATGGTATAAAAACCTAACCTCAAAGTTTGTACGGGACAATAAGCTTAAGCAACCCCTGTTTCTACGACACTGCGTTCACTCGAACAATTGTAATTATGTGTGAATATGTGTTTTGGTAGTAAGTAACTGTTCGCAAAATATCACCTTTCTAAGTCTACCATAGTAGAAGTTGCTTAAGCTTATTGTCCCGTACAAACTTTGAGGTTAGGTTTTTATACCATTTGATGCAATTTTTGTATTACTCCGTCTACTGTAGAAGTTATATTAAAAAAACTGATATGATAAGTAACACTTAATCACCCTGTATCTTTTAGACATAAGTAATTAGGAAAAATATTTATTTAGATTTTTGTCTTATTTTGACTTGCTTAATCTGCTCCTTAATTTATGCCACTAAGTTTAGGGATACCTTGTATAAAGTTATAGATATATGGCACGGTCTTATATACAGGTCTTGCAACTTCACCCAATTTCAATAGGAAAAGTGACCTCTCTAATGAGACACCCACCAGATGGCGCATCGAGTTGTGGGTGAACCATAGATGTTTAAAGGTCGTTTTTACCTTCTTTATCTTTGGGTTTTACAATCGTTAGATAAGCTCTCTGGTGGATAATTTTCTTAGATAGAAGGTTTCTATGAAAGTTATCCGCCAAATAAGCTAACTTAATCTAACGATTGTAAAACCGGCTCTAAGTCCTTAAAGTCTATGGGATAAAAGGTCAAATGAACTACATACTTATGTTCTGTGTTAAGAAACATAACCTACATTTTTATAAACAAGCTTGTGTATTTTGTTACAGGGAGTTTTTACTTATTAATTAGATTAAAATAGATTAAAATAGCTGACAGTTTGGCTAGTTTATAAACTACCCAGCTACTTTATAAACTATCCATGTTTACACATTGGCCGTAACATATATATGATATACGTATGTATTTTATACATTAACATGTTTTACTTACATGTTTGGTCTGGGCATGTGACGGCCGAGGACTTTGTGCATAGAGTAGAGACTTTGTTGTCCTATTTTGTTAACGTAAATTATCCGAAACAAACTCACAAATATTAAATTTTTGAAAATGTAAACAAAACATAGAAAAAGAATTTAAAAAGTTAGGTTATGGTTATGCAGTAGTTCCACATTTAACTAAGTAGTTCATTTAATTGACTTTACCCTTCGATCTTAGCGCCACCTAGCGGCTTGGCACGTTAAGGAAGCCACCTCGAAGCTTAAAGTTGCAAGACCTGTATATAAGACCGTGATATATGGAAATATATGACATTTCAGATAGTTTTCTTTAATAGATATTAAAATTTATACCTGGCGTTTAGAAAATGTTTCTCTCACGAACTCAAAAAGTAAAGGAGTTTATTTTGGTTGAAAACTGGTGATAGCTTTACCGAAATAATAATCTTATGTTATATTTACCTGTTTACAATTCCTGTGGCAATGGCATCAGCAGATAAAAACCTATCTAAGATATTCAATGGGCCCAAACCGTCCTCATTGATAAATTAGTAAGCCGCCTTATAGATTTAAGTAAATAATAAATAATAATAATAATAATAAATTATTAGTAATAATTATTATATATGGACTGGTTAGCCTTTCTTTTTAAGTTTTTAATATTTTCTTTATATTAACTTTAATAGTTTATAATATGTATGTTATTTACTTTTTTTAATATCTTACGTTTCAAAATTTGAATAAAGTTTGTAGTCATACATACAATAATTTTTTATTGCGATTAGCATATTTATTAGTGAACAAAAACGCCTAGGCATAAACGCTCACATAAGATACTTATAGGGTGGGCCAATCGCAAACAAGAGATTTTTATTTTGACCGATAAAAATAATGTTTTTTTGCCAAACATCTTTAACACATAAATAACCTCGAACTCAGGCCCGTAGATTGTTGCTACGGCGCTGAGGGGGTTATTAACAAAATTACGGATTTACGATGTCAAAGAATTGATTATTTGCGTTTAAACTACTATTAGCGTGCTATCATATCATGCAAGGCTAAAATCAACTTGTTTTGTCGAGTAATTGAAAATTATACCTGTTAATAATTCAACATGTTCCTGTTTTTGTATGCAAGGGATAATGGATTTCATGGACGTATTGAATTTATTATTAATCCATATTTGAAATTATATTGCGATTTACACATACTTTTTAAACTATTACACATACTTTTTAAACTATTTACCAGGATTTCGATCATAAATTATTATTTCTATAGTTAAACTAAATCTTTTTATGACCAACCCAACGATGTGAAACAACGCATTTTCCATGTAGGTACCTACACAGAAAAAATAAAACGGTAACCATTGATGCACAAAACAGTAATCCACTCAATGAACTATTGGAATAATATTTAATCTATAGAATATTGCTTATAAGTGGTATACTATAATTTCTATGTGTCAAAAATAACCATTACAGGTGTCAAAGTGACTCGTGAGGTTTTATTATAAATTGTATGGTTTTAAATAGTACATTGACCTTGACTTGTAGATACCTACTGTTTTTATAAGGCCTGCAGAGGTATTATTGGCAACTACCACTAATAAAGTTGAAAATAAGTATATTAAACATTCAATAATTTTTATTTTACACATTACACTTTAGCGGTAGTTGTTTTATTTATAAACGTAGGAGGAGGAGGAACGCAGTCTTCATCTTCTTTCTCCGGTTTTGGAGGAGCAACCAATACTTTATCGATCAAGCCAAACTCCAATGCTTCGTAAGGTGTCATAAAATTATCCCTTTCCAGACTCTGCTCGATCTTTGCCAAAGTCATCCCGGTATGACTGCAGTACAAATTGTTAATTTGCTTTTTCAGTTTTAAAATTTCTTCGGCTTGAATTTTTATGTCGGTAGCCTGACCGGTCACGCCTCCTGAAGGCTGATGGATCATTATTCTAGCGTTTGGCAGGGAGTGTCTCATTCCTGAACAGTAAATTTTATAATTGTTTTAAGTAGGTACAACAGGGTGCTCCACTTTTCGAAAGGTATACCTGTATTTTTTGATACTATATTTGCACAGCCATACAAAACAAAATACTAAAAAATGCGGGTTTTTGAGGTTATATAGAAAACCAATCGTGAAAGGTTTTAGCGGCCTAAAATCCATAGGAATACACGTGTCTCATTAAAGAAATCTAATTAAATTAACCAGAATAAAGTTCATTAAAATGTTTTTTATCTAGATATACAGGTTGGTCCAAAAGGAACCTTGAATAATTTATAAATTATCCTATGTTTTTTTATTAGGTAAGCAGTGGCGTTACTACTGGGGTAATTTCCATTGTAACGACACTGACGCTGCGTTTTTTCATGATAATAAAGTATTTTTTTATATATCAAGATACGTTAATATACAAAAATAACATAAAAAATTAGATATTTAACTTAAACAAAATGTCAATAAAATCTTGTATAGAAAACTTTTTATACGGTCATGAATCGCGTAACCGCGTTAGAAAATCGGCAAATGCGACCAAATTGGCTTCTAAAGTTGATACTGTAAAATTTTGGATGAAAGCATATAGTAATAATTTTTTGTGTAAAACTTAAATAGTAACCTCAAAAATAAAATATATGCTCAAATATTAAATACTTTATTTTGCCGGAAATACCCTGGGGTAATAATATTTCTCTTAAGAGTAAATCCTTTAATCATTTAGGTTTAGGTTTCTGTTCTAAAATAATTAAATATAAGTTTCTGTAGAAAAATATTTTTAGTCTTATTTTTAAATTAGTTTATTTCAAAATAAACATTCTTGATTGGTTGCTATAAATTACAAATTATTAATTTTTTAATTGAATTTTTAAAATCGAAATTCAGTCAAGTAGATACAAAACATTGTAGAAAACGGTGTACTAAATTTAGTACGCCATAAGCGAACTATTGATTTCATAAATCTAAAAAAATGATTATATCATTGGCGTACCTTTTTTTGTATTTTTATAAAAAGACCGAACTAAAAGATATATGGAAAATATGATAAAATTTAATTAAAGTGGAATTGCAGTTTTACTGTAAAAAGGTACATTTTACGAAAAATCGATTTCTTATTTTATGAATGTGGATTTTTTCTAAAAAGAGATATTATCACCACCGTAGTGACGCGCCACTGCTTGTAGTATAAAAACAAATTTAATGCCTAACTATAAAAAATAATACCCACTAAATTTAAATAAAAAATGTTCTTTAGTTTAGAAGAAATTATTTTTGTTCAAAAAATCTATGCAACTTTAACACCGTGTATTTCTAAAACTGTTGATTTTTTTATATAAGTTAATTAAGAAACTTCCTTTTGGACCATCCTGTAAAAATGCATACCAAATTTTGTCCATTTATCCATTATCTTTCAAATGATATTAAAGAAAACCCTAAAAATATATAGCTCTAACCTTGTATCAAAGAGGAAGCAAAATTTGACCAAAGTTTATTTGTTTTTCGATAAACCATTTGTGAAATTCTGATGATTTAAAAAGAGAAATAGGGTTGGGCCATGCAATTTGTTTATTGCATATTTGGAATATACAATGGTTTGTCATTAATAGTTCTTTGTCATTAGGCCAAGAAGTGAGTATTTTGTGCTAAGCTCTAAGTTCAAAGTTTGAGCAAAAAACAAAAAAGATACTTTTTGTCTGAATGGCATAAAATGTTTTATCTTTAAGGCACCATTTTTTAAACGATACATAAAACGAACAATTAATTAACCATTTTAAGTGCCTAGCTATCAGTCACTTTAGGGTATTTCCGCGAAACCTTACCCCACCTTCATCACCAAATCAGATGTGTTATTTAACAAAATAAAAAATATATCTGAAGTCAATTAGTTTAATTGCGACGTAATTTATAACCTTTAAATATTCGTACATTTTGATGCCTAGATGCTAAAATTAAGAGTAAACACGGTTTCAATACTCGATAAAATGTTCAAATGTCGCACCCGTTACATTTTGAGAGTATACAATATTTGTACACTTAAAATACGTGCTTTTTGAGGTTAATATTCAAGTTTTACACAAAAAATTATTACTATATGCTTTCATCCAAAATTTTACATCAACTTTAGAAGCCAACTTGGTCGCATTTGCCGATACGCGATTCATGACGTTAAAAAAGGTTTTCTATTTAAGTTTTTATTGAAATTTTGTTTATGTTAAAAATTTAATTTTTTATACCATTTTTGTATATTAAAGTATCTTGATAAACATTTTATTATTATGAAAAAACGCAGCGTCAGTGTCGCACCCGTTACAATGGAAATACCCTTTAGAAACAAGTGTTGACAACAATAAAGTTTAAATTATTATTATTATTAATATTACCGATTAAAGATAACAAAAATCTACGTTTCTTAAACTGTTTTTGAGAACGCTACAACGTTTTGAAAAATGCCAAGATTGTGACGCGTGACTTGGACCACTGAAAGAAAAACAATTTGAAAACTTTTTCTAGGATCCGGCCCATTTACGAAAAGCAACAAATTAACATTACCATGCAATTTTTTATTAGCATTACCAAGCAATTTTTGATTAGGTAAGTTTGGTAGAAAAACTCCACTTGTTCCGCCGAGTCCAGTCCTAATGTAGTATCGTGATGTCAAGCTACCAAGAGTTTTAGTCATTTTTGTCGTTTTTAATGGTAGACAACCATTTATTGACTAATCTCTATAACAGAAGGGGTTTCACACTGATTTTTCATATTCCTATGCTAATACAAAAAAAGACTTTAATTTAATAATAAAACTACTTTTTGGGTCCAAGTTCATATTTAAATGTCATAGAAACTTGCGCAAATAACTTACGGGCAATTTAAGGTAATATTTACTGGTTTAAGTACCAACAGTACAAGTTGTTAATAGTATTTAAGTATTATAATAATAATTGATTACAAAAAGTCATTTTTAGCTTCTCGCATCATTTCAATTCTTCCAAACAAATCTAAAAGAACAGGTTAGAATAAAGCCCTTTAAAAAAATAATTTCATTATGCGTTCGCCCTGGAGTAAGTAGATATTTACAAATATTTTATTGCATCTAGACTTCTGTTAGGAGAGATGGCGTACTTTATCATATTTTTCCCCAAATATCCACATTTATATATTACATTCTTCATCAGGACGCCAAGTATCACTTTATTTGAAAAATTTAACCCAATGTTACATCAAACTGTCACTTAAATTGGATAACTTTAAAATATTTGTGGTGGTCATTCTGTTACTTAAGACCAAATTATATATAAAATATATTAATTTATTTCAAAAAGATTCTAAACATCATTATGTTTCTTCCTTATCCTTGAAGAAGTCAATATGCACCAATTACTCAAGTGGTATTTATGAGCATTTCTTACATCAAACACAAAGTAATATGGGTGCAAACGGGCCGAAATAAAATACAAAAGTGGTTTCTCGTTTGGTAAAATAAAAGAATAAATGTTTTAATGTACTTTGAAAAATGCAGCTGGAAACTGGAAAGCTTTTTGTTCGCTAAACTCATTACATGATAGAGTGGTGTTTTTGTCGTATACCTTTTGTTCCTGCAGCCAGTAGCAGGGATCCCATGCTGCAGGCCTGTCCGACGCACCAAGTGGCCACAGGTGGCAAAATGTACTGCATCGTATCGTAAATCCCCAGTCCTGCCGTAATTACTCCTCCCGGAGAGTTGATGTACATGTGTATCGGCCGGCTAGTCGATTCCGATTGCAGAAACAATAGCTGCGCTATTATTAAGGAGCTGGTTACGTCGTTTATTGGACCCATCAGGCAGATTATACGCTCTTTTAGCAGTCGAGAGTAGATGTCGTAAGCTCTTTCGCCTCTTCCTGAAAAATAGACCAATTGTAAACGTTAGTGGAGAAGGGTTTATATCTCTTTTACAAAAGATAATGGGCCATAAATATAGGGCAATCAATTTAAGTAATCTTAGAACTAGTCTAATACAGGGTGAATTTTAAGTTGACACTTTTTTAGAAATCAAATAGACAAACAAATATTTCAACCCTTCAAATGGTGTCGACGTCGACATGATGATTTAACTTTGTCGGGTACCCTCTTAATCCATTTAGGATAGAATTATATTCTGTGGAAATGAAAAAAAATGTAATTTCACTTTTGACGGTACAGCATGTCGAGCTTGTGGAAGACGTCGACATTTTCTTCACCATGAACGTCGACATGCTGGAAAGCCTTTAATTACATTAATTTACAATGAATAAGCTTTGACTGATACCCATCTACAAATGTAATCATACTCTAATAAAAAAATTTAAATCGAAAAACGACATTTAGGTTTTTGAACTGTCACACTATGGTCTAGATAGCGATTTTAGCGCGAATTAATTCAAAAAGTAGGCTATTCTCAAAATTGACTTATTTAGTGGCATTTGACAGTTCACGATATGCAACATCGTTATCACAAAAAATTAGAGCTTAGAAAAAGAAATCTTCCCTATAATTAATATTCGAAACGCAGACCCCCATAATTAGTAATAAGATTTTATTTTTATGTCCGTGCAATTTTTTGTTCGCTGTGGCTCCCGTCCCGAGGCGGGACTTAAGTTCAGTCCCGATTGACGTCATAATTTTAAGATTTGTTATGTTATAATAAAATAATAATATTAAATTGTACCTGTATACATGTTAAGGGCACTTTAGTTAAGTCATAAAACCAAACCAACCCAAACTCAACAACACAACCCAACCGACCCCGCCCCATTGGCCCCCCCCCCGCCCCATTGAGCAAAAAACCCAACTAAAATGGGCAAATTTATGTTACGATAAAAATAAAACACTTTTTAACAAAGAAACAACAAATTTATAAAATAAAAAAAATAAAAAAAGTTTGACAACTTCTAGTGGGATCGAACCCGGTACCTCTCGCATGCCAAGCGACCGCCCTACCATCTAAGCCATCGAGCTTGACACAAATTATAAAATCTCGGGGAATAAAAACCGATTTACAGTGTGTGACGTCAATCGGGACTGAACTTAAGTCCCGCCTCGGGACGGGAGCCACATCGTTTTTTGTTTACTGCGAGTTTGTTTATGAATGGATTTGGATAATTTTATGTTTATACAATGGGTGAAGTCTCCCAAGGTAGGTTTTGAAATTATTTTTGGTTGTTATCCTATAGTTTTGTATAAATGATGTTTTTATTTTGGTACCACCACAAATTACTTATATTACTATCGTTCCTAAGGTTTTAAAAAATTGCAAAAGTTTGCAGATATAGTAATTACTTTTAAAAAGTAACTTAACTATATGACTTTATATTAAATATAAAATTAGGTCCTCCACATACATTCTGTATTTTTTATGAATTATTTTCAGTGGGCGAAAGGAACTTATTTTCAATTACGCGCAAGGAGCTTTTTGAAGAATGGTTAAAGTTAAAAGATTTAAAAAGAAATAATTGTTGTTATGCTTTGGAAACCTTCCTTCATTCTAAAAGAGATGTAAAAGGGCCATATATTCAGAATATATGTATACAATTTGTTAAAAATATTGAATTCAAATGGAAAAGAAGTAACAACATTAAATCCAGATTTTTAAAATTAAATGAGGAGTGGTTATTGTCTACGATCAATTTAAAAGAATATGAAGAACCACTGCCAGGACCTTCAAAAGTTGGAAGACCTTTTAAATGCTTTAGCGAATGTGGTACAAGAGCTAAGCAAAATAAGGCAAGAGCATTAACAACAAGTTGTAGCACTAATGAACTGTCCTTTGCTGTTCAGATGAGTCTTAGAAAATGTGGCAAGCGAAATGCAGCAGTTATTGTAGGCCAAGTGACTGAAGAAAGTTCCCCAAAACGTGTGGCGAAATTAAAAAAGATATTGAGTGCAACAGAACTTGATAAATCCAAAGGTCTTACACCAGAGCAAGCCTTGTCGTTGATAATCAACACAAAATCCAGTAAGGCCACGTATTTGGCCTACAGAATGGCTGCCAAAAGTTGTAACAATAACATATATCCATCTTGGAATAAAGTCTTGGCGGCAAAGTCTAAATGCTATCCTCATCCTGGACAAGTTATTGTTTAAGATATGGGCGTTGAAATTAATCTTCAAGAACTTCTTAACTTGACAGCCCACCGCTTATGCACGTTACAAAAAGACGTATTAGAAACGTTTTTTGGGAAGCAACTTACTTTAGTATGTAAGTGGGGTCTGGATGGAAGTTCAGGACAGAGCAATTACAGACAAATGACAAATATTGGTAGTGGTGATTCATCTGTGCTCATTGCTTCCCTTGTTCTCGAGATAGCCGGCAAGAAACAAAAATATTGTGGCAAAATCCCGTGCCTTCGTCAACAAGATTTTGCAGAGCAATTAAGTTCGTTTTCGCTAAAGAAACTCCCGAGTTAACTCGAAATATCACTGAAGGGATCCAGGCACAAATTGAGAAATTACAAAATTTTATTCATGGAAACATTTCTATCAGTTTTTACCTTGTTTTAACAATGGTAGACGGAAAAGTTTGCCACACCCTGACTGGAACTAAATCAACTCAAAGCTGTTATATATGTGGCGCTACACCGAAAGAAATGAGCGCTTTAGATAAAGTCGAGAAAAAGCTTCCAAAAACAGAAAATTATTGTTTTGGTTTGTCAAGTCTGCATTCCTGGATTCGTTTTTTTGAGTGTTGCCTGCATGTGGGATATAGAATGGAAATTAAAAGTTGGCATGCCAGGGGTGAAAATAGAACGAAAATGGAGACAAGAAAGAAGCTGATTCAAGACAAATTTAAAACAGAACTTGGAATTCTTGTTGACCAGCCTAAGCCTGGATATGGATCGACGAATACTGGAAATACTGCCAGGGTATTTTTTCGAAATGAAAAAAAAGCAGCAGAAATTACTGGAGTTGACCAAGAAATTGTTCATAGATTCCATATAATACTACAGACGATATCTTGTGGTTATGAAGTGGACCACGAAATGTTTAAAACTTATGCTATAGTAACGGCAAAAAAATGTATTTCTTTGTATCCTTGGTTTTATATGCCCACCCTCAGATCCCATTATATCACACTTATCGCTAAAAGATAACATGTCAAAAAACAAAATAAAACTTGATTCTGAAGTTTTAAATATGCTAAAAGCTCCTCCAAAATCATTTAGTGTAGGCTCAGTTTCGTCTGATTCGGACGCTGATTAATTATATTTCTTTGTCTATTGTTTTGAAGTTTAGTTGGGTTATTTTTTGTTTCTGTGTGTGTTTATTTTTTTAATTTATAATAAAATAATGCTAACATATTACTTTATCGTTTTTAAATTATCATACAGCAACTACAAGTCAATTCAACGGTGCTTCTAATTAATTCGCGCTAAAATTGCTTTCTAGACCACTGTGTGTCATGACGACTGACTGACGATGAAAATGCTAGGCCGTAAAGTAACCGATGTCGATGTCGACATTTTTATCAACATTTGCGCCGACATGGTTTGTGACCACAAGATAGCGTATGAAGATTTACAGCTTAAAGACTAAAAACAGTATTTTTGCCATATTTAGACCATTTAAGGTATTTAAATCAAGGTGAACCGATCGAATAAACATCATTTCAAAGAAAATACATCGATAAGCAACATTTCCAGAAAAAAACTTGCAGTTTCAGGCGATTTTAGTATGATGTTTTTTAATATATTTTTTAATTTTTCTTCAGTTTTAAAAATTTCAAAATCACTTTAATGTTGGGATTGGATAAAATTAATATCATTTTAATAAGATTACATTGAATCAGAAAGTTTAAAAAAAAGTATTTAAATAGTCCATATTTGCATGATATTTTGTCATATTTTCAAAACTTTAATGAAATAAAAAATGAATAAAAAACAAATTTCAGTTTTTTATGAAGTACCTAATGGTAATTATTATAACTATTATAGTGATGGTTATCAATCGGCACAAGTGGAATGTCGACAATGTGGTATAATCTAAAGCCCTCGCGGAAAGGCCAATTTCCTTCATTATATAAGTCACCAGTAAAACGGGTATCCCAGAGGTACATAAAGCATATATTTTCTTATAGTCCAATTGCAATCCTTGTTAAAGGGCCACCACTTTCGAATGTTGCTGAAGTATATTCTTCCGTTTGGCTTGATCTTGCAGAAACGGAAAATTCGTCTGAATGTGAAATTGCCAACTCAACAAATCTTGTTAACATGTTAAATCGTATATCAAACTATTTAATTTGTTTCTGTTTGCTCCCTTTATAAAATGTAAGAACGCAAAACATTTATATGGATTGTGACCTTCTAAATGGCATAGCTGAACCAGTTTTATTCCATTGCTTTATAAAAGATAGACAGAGACCGATCCACATTTTTAATTACATTTAAGCCTTTGGCTATATACAAATTGTTTGTGGCTTTACACATTCCGCATCGATGGTCTTAATTTTCAAAATAATATCTATATTATAGTCAATTTTCCATATAGGTAATATGGAGTTAACTAAATCTAAAAAAGTGCTCTAATTTTATAATTTTTTACGGTATTTTCGGATTCAGGGTACAATTACATTTTTTTTGTACTCGGTTAAGTGTCCTCTATTACCACACGGGCGATGCATCGCGATGGTCCGACACTTTGGAATCACATTTTATTTCTAATAGATATTACTAAAAATATGTGTTTTGAATAAATTTAGTAAACGAAGATTATTTTAATAATCGCCCTAATAATAAATACTATTTACAATTAATAAGCAAATCAATAACAGAAATATTTAATTTTGGAAAACCACTCCGCGTGAAAAATCAAGGTACCACTTTCACTCTATAGGCAAATATAAGGATTTGGCGGAAGGGTTTGTAAA